TTAAGTGTACGCGTGTATTGCCTGCATGTAGGTAAGTGCCCCGTGTCGTGCAATGCCTGCAGAGGTCAGAAGAGGCTGTCGGATCCTCTGGGACTGGAGTTACAGACAGTTGTTAGCTGCCATGTGGGTGCTGGGATTCGAACCTGGGTTTTCTGCAAGAACAACCAGTGTCCTTAATCAATGAGCCATCTCTCCAGTTCCCCTACCCCCCCTTGATTTTCTCTAAAGGCATTTGACATGTCTTATTCCTTCCTCAGGAAAATGACTTGATAGCTAAATATAAAGAAAGAACTCTTATCTAATCATGGACGTTTGGTAGGGGTTTGGAAACCTAGAAGTCTATATGATACAAATTTTGACATGAGGGAAGCTTTGCATGCAAAGTGATAGACTCTGTAAAGCAGATCAATAGAGCATACAATATTTGCAAGCTACTATAATATCAAAATGTCTTGGAGTAATGGCTACATGAAATGTTATGTTCTTTATGTATAAAATCGGAATAAGCTGGGTATGCTGTCACATGCCTGTATCTTAGCATTTGAGAGGCTGAGGCAAGAGGATCAAGAGTTTGAGGTGAGCCAGGGTACATAGTGAGATCCTATTCAAAAAAGTAAAATTAAGTAAAAATAAAAATAAAAAACAAGCAAGAATAAGATCACAAATTAAGCCAGAACGCCCCTCTGCCTTGTACCCAACAGAGTCTCTCTTTACTACCTAGCTCTCCTTGCATTTTCTATTTTGGGGATAAATACAGAAATTGGATTCTTAGTAATTCCTCTTCAAGGAATATAGTTTGCTATTCAAGAGATTTTTTTCCACTGGATTTGAGCAAACAAAACCTTCCCAGATGATATGTGATGTACTTTTGGATAAAACAAACACGTCCTGTTCAAAATCTCTCGTCTAGCTATGTTTCGTGATGCAGGCCTATAATACATCAGCACTTGGGGGTCTGAGACAGGAGCATCATGAGTTTGGGTTCTGCCTGGGCTACAGTAGCAAGACCCTGTCTCAAACAAACAGTCCCATAACACCAGCTGACCAACCAAATCGCTAATCTGCTTTGTGTTTCTTACATTTACTAAAAGATGTTTTCTCCCTTCTGTATGGCATGCATTCCTATTGGAATTCTTATTGATAAGTTTCTAAATGCAAAAACTGGTTAATGGGGAGGGAGCAATAAAACCATAGATAACAGTGTATTCGACTGTCTGACAAAAATCTGTTCATTTACAGCCTTCTCAGGTTTCACTTGAACAGTATTTTCATTGTGTTCATAGAACATACACAGTATGCATAAGGTCCGTGCTATGGCACTGCAGCATGTTGATTAATCCTGAAGGACTGAGTGCTCGGTCTAAGACATCAGAGAAGAGGTCTCCGCATGTCTTGGGGCTGCCACTGGCCTCCCTGTTGTTACTTGTCTTCATATGACCTGGTCTTTGGAGAATTAAAGCCAGTTTATATTTTATTTTATTCTACCAGGGTTATTCTAACCATTATTAATATCATGTGCTAAAAAAGTTGATGTCTATCTGAATGCACATTTAACAAATAGTTAAAAGTTTTTTAAAAAGTTGAAGGTGGCTGGGTGTTGAACCCCAGTCCTTATTGATGAGTACTTACAAATGTTAAAAATAATTCCACTGAAATAGTGGTTTTTTGAGACATGGTCTCACTGTGTGGCCCAGGCTGCCCTCAAATTTGTAATCCTCCTGCTGTAGCCATCCCAGTATTGGGATTATAAGTGCTTGCCCCCCGTACCCAACTTAAAATAGTTTTTAAAAACTTAGAATTGGTGATTCAATGTTAGAATTTAAATTATATTATTTAATACCATTAATGAAATTTTTTTCCCTAAACATAATTTCAGACAACATAAGCCACTAAAATTTTTGGAAATTTGTTAAGCTTCCCCTTCTTCCTCTTCCTCCTCTTCTTCCTCCTTTCTTAAAGATTTTTTTCTATTTTATGTGAGTGCCTGCTTATATGTATGTGTACCATGTATAAGCCATTTTCTCAGGAGACCAGAAGAGGTAGTCTAACCCCCTGGAACTGGTTGTAAGCATTTGTGAGCCACCCTATATGGATGCTGGGGACCGAACCCAGGCCCTCTGGGAGAGCAATAAATGCTCTTAACCACTGAGCCATCAATCTTTCCAGCCCTAAGCCTTCTAAAATAGTTTATCTGAAGAAACTCTTTTTTGAGGAGTCTGTTAGATTAAGGTTTACAGAGGCTTAAGTTTGGTTTCTGTATCCTTTTCTCCTAGTTACTTCCAGATTCCAAGAGTATGTAACAGGTCGGTTGTGGGGAAAAGTTTTGATTTGTAGTTATAGAATCCTATAACTGATTCTCTTCCTTCTCTCCTCTTTCTTTGAATAGTTTCTTATAGTAACCGAGGTTGGGCTTGAAATTGCTGTGGAAGATAGCCTAGGACTGATCCTTCTGCCTCTCCCTCCTGAATGCTATGATTACAGGCATACTGTGTTCATCTTAGAGACTCATTTTTGACACCTCGTTATTCGTTATAGTTTGTTATTTTTTGAGACAGGGTCTCATGTAGTCAGGGTGGTCTGAACTCTTGATTTTCCTTCTT